AATTATGAAATTATAATTCCATGCTGGTATCCACATAAAGAATTCTATGTCCTATGAATGGAATTTAAAACATCTGAATGATAGAGTAATTCCATACCTACTATCTACACAGACTCTCTGGGTACGGAATACAGTAGGAGAATTACAACCCTGTCAACTCTGCAGATGCCAACTGATACTGACCACATGTGAGGCATTTCATACCCTCCCCTCTACGACCTGTCACCTTCCATTTGCTCAGTGCTACTGCAATCAATCAACAGAGGACCTCTGCAAATCACTCTGATTTTAATCATCTGTGTGATTGTAACTAAAGCTTACTAACAGCCACCAGGGAGAGGAGAGAACAAGTTAACCCGATTTTGTTTTGACTAATTCAAAAGAAAAAAACAAAAACAAAAACAAAAACAGAAGCTGGGTGGGGGTAAAATTTGCAAAAGTTTGACATGTGGGACTTGGTCTGGAGTTCCAAAAATTACCACAACATAAATTAACAAATATTGTCTAAGCCGGCTCTGAAGAAACCTCTTATTTCCTGTCCTTAGTTCACTATTATTTTCATTCATATTCTATATTCTCAGCCCTTCCCTGGCCTCTTTGTTCCAAAGTCTTAACTTTCTTTTGATTTCTTACAAAGTTATCCTTCGTATTGTCATCTTCCCTTTTAGGGCATTTGGCCTAAATTTAACATGGCAGATTCCTTTCCTGAAGATATAACCTACTTTCTGCATATCACCCTGCAACTATGTATGATTCCCTGGCACTCTCCACATGCCACATTCACAGATTCAAATTCTGATTTTATATATCACATGTTCAATGCAAACTTCTGCCTCATCTGATTCTGAAATTCTGAGATGACTTATCTATCTACATATTTTTTTTTAATTTAAGTGAAAACAGGTTGTCTTTAGACTGATACTGCCAAAGCACATGCCACTGCCTGTGTACTTGAACATCACTCCTAATGAAATTTTCATGAGGTTATTGTCATCTTGCAACAAGGCCCTGCTGACGGTTGGATTATGGTGGTAGAGCCTCAGCCCAAAGCAGATAAAGGGTTTGAATTGCAAAGTTTAAAACTGATATCAAATATTCACAAGAACTATATGAAAATCCGGACACTTTGACTTAATAGTTCCCTTCTTGGGAATTTGTCTGTAAAAAAAAAAAAAAGGCAATTCTGGGGCTCCTGGGTGACTCAGTCATTAAGCATCTGCCTTTGGCTCAGGTCATGATCCCAGGGTCCTGGGATAAAGCCCCGCATCAGGCTCCCTGCTCAGCGGGAAGCCTGCTTCTCCCGCTCCCACTCCCCCTGCTTGTGTTCCCTCTCTGTCTCTCTCTCTCTCTGTCAAATAAATAAATAAAATCTTTAAAAATAAATAAAAATAATTTAAAAAGACAATTTAAGGGCATCTGGGTGGCTCAGTCGTTAAGTGTCTGCCTTCAACTCAGGTCATGATCCCAGGGTCCTGGGATTGAGCCCCACATCTGGCTCCCTGCTCAGCGGGGAATGTGTTTCTCCCTCTTCCTCTGCCTCCCCCCCCCCACCCCCCCCCCCGCTCATGGGGCTCTTTCTCTCTCTCTCAAATAAATAAATAAAATCTTTTTAAAAATTCAAAAGAATAGGGTGCCTGGGTGGCTCAGTCGGTTGAGCGACTGCCTTCGGCTCAGGTCATGATCTCAGGGTCCTGAGATGGAGTCCCACATCGGGCTCCCTGCTCTGCGGGGAGCCTGCTTCTCCCTCTCCCACTCCCCCTGCTTGTGTTCCCTCTCTGGCTGTGTCTCTCTCTGTCAAAAAAAAAAAAAAAAATTCAAAAGAATAAAAAAATCCATCTGTATGAAAATGCTTATTTCAATATTATCTATAAATAATGTGAAACACTGGGACCAATGCTATTCTCCAAAAATAAAGAAATGGTTATAGAAACTATGATGAATCAATTTAATGGACTATTGTAAAACCACTTATCAAGAAATCATTATGAAATGAGACTTTCCAAGACTACATAATAACTTAAAGTTCAGAAGCAAATCATAAATGAAAAAAAATGAGAAATCACACTTAAAAAAACACTAGAATTGAATAACAAAAATTAATAATTATGATATATAAATTCTTTAAAAATTTTTTAAAATATTGTTTCATTTTTGATTTTATAAGAAACAAAATTGGAAGAAAAATGTGTCAGAAAAAAAGCCTGAAAGCTTGAATTTTCCTATTTCTATGTAGAAAATTAAATTATTTTCAAAATCAGCAGGACCACACCATCTAAGACCAAAGATGGAAATTGCATAGTTCCAAGGTTTGAAACTTGTTTTGAACAGAGGACGAATCATACCCAGAGGGGGCGCCTGGGTGGCTCAGTTGGTTAAGCGACCGCCTTCGGCTCAGGTCATGATCCTGGAGTCCCGGAATCGAGTCCCGCATCGGGCTCCCTGCTCAGCGGGGAGTCTGCTTCTCCCTCTGACCCTCCCCCCTCTCATGCTCTCTCTCTCATTCTCTCTCTCAAATAAATAAATAAATAATCTTTAAAAAAAAAAAAAAAGAATCATACCCAGAGGCTTTAAGGGGGACACCATAACCATAAGAAAAAGAAGTGGCAAAGGATTTGTTACATTACTAAACCACTTGTTCTTAAAACCAAGATTATGTAAACTGTTCTTGGTTAGCAGTTCATGTATCAGAAGTCATAAATGTAAGAACAGTCAGAAAAAGATCCGTCTTTCACTCGAGTATTCGTTCAGCTGCAAGAGTTAACGTTTTCCCAGTCCCTTAATGAAGAGGAATTGGGTGTTAATGTCAAAGCCCACTGACTTTGCAGAGGGGAAAACTATACACCATCCCCACCCCCCCCAGGAGGCGCACTGCTCTCCCTCCTTGGCACTACTGTGAGACTCAAATCAGAAGCTATGAAATGTACAAATAGCACCCCTGCTGGAGAAATAATGTCTCCTCTGTACAACTCATCCTCATAAATCCTCCACCCTGTCTTAAAAAGGCCTTTCTTATGATTAAACTATAAAAAAATGTTGTTGAAAAAGCAAACAAATCCAATGTGGTCCATGTTCCAAAATTAAACTATACATATCCTGGATCTGATCCATTTTCTTCATTTTGTGATTAACTGCTTAAATGGCTTAAGAAGCCTCTGACTTCATTAAACAATCTGGAAACAGTAAGAACTTTTTCCCAAAGAAATTAGCTGTCAAATTATTCCTCCACTAATGTGTTTGTTTTCTGATGCTAGTGCTGAAATGCCAAGGCACTCCGACAGATAACTGTTGGAAGATTTGGGCTCAGAGCTTTTAAATAGCATGAGATATTGGTTTTGGAAGCAGCTGTTAGACAGAAGGGTGGGACCAGGGGGAAGGGGGACGTGGTAATGGAAGTGCCGGTTAACAGTTCTGGGTCTCCTTTCTGATATTGGCGTGTTAATGTTGCCAAAAGGGTTCCCAGCATTTGTACAACAGTAAAGAGGCTGGATTTTTTTTTTTTCCAAACGAAAAAAAACCAACCTTCATTTCTGTGTAAATCAAGAATTATGCATTAGAATGAAATGAAGAAAAATATAAATTAGAAAAAAGTAGAAAAGATAATCTAAAAGTGCATTATCAAACATTAAATTTTCTAATGGGGGAAGGGACCTTCAAATCTCACCTCAAAGGCAAAAGAAAAAGAAATTCTCTGCTAAGTTTATGTATTTACTTGGGTCTCCATCTCTTAATCTAAAATTGCACTATCCGATATGGTAGCCACTGGCCAAATGTGGCCAGTGGGCACTAGTCCAAACTGACTCGCACTATCTGTGTAAGACACACACGAGGTTTCAAGGATCTAGTAGGCAAAAAAGAGTATAAAATGTTTCATTACTACTTTTCATATTAAAATCTTACTTTATATATACCAGATTAAATAAAACATTATTAAAATTAATTTGACCTGTTTCTGGTTACTTTTCCTAATATGGCTACTAGAAAATTTAGATTTCATATAGGGTTCATATTTGTGTCTCTCATTACATTTCCACTGGACAATACCAGTATTTAATTAAAATGAATCAGAATGAATTTAATTCCTTCAAAATCCCTTCCAGCTCCAGAGTTCTGACACTAAGAGACTGCAGGCTCAAGCTGGTAAGTTTCAAATACAAAGTTATTTTGGAGAAACTTAGGTTCAGTCACTATTTCATTATTTCTCCATACTTTTCACTCATGCTCTCCAATGCTTCTTTATTCTGTTTCCTATGGATCCCTAATAGCCAAGAAAAATGAATGTGTCCATTTATTCACTTATAAACTCTAAGTATGAAGTTCATAAGGTCATTCTGAATTGTTAGCTGGTCATATTTCTTTTTGCTTTACACCATACTGATGCCCATTTTTATTTTTTTATTTTTTTTATTTTTTTTTAAGATTTTATTTATTTATTTGACGAGAGAGACACAGCGAGAGAGGGAACACAAACAGGGGGAGTGGGAGAGAGAGAAGCAGGCTTCCCTGGGATCATGACCTGAGCCAAAGGCAGACGCTTAATGACTGAGCCACCCAGGCGCCCCTGATGCCCATTTTTAATGACATGTAATGGATAATGAACTCTGAGGGTTTTTTTTTTTTCAGTTTTAACATTCATAAAATAGGAGTTTCGGAATTAGAGAAGCTTAGAGGTGCTATTCCAGTGGTTCCCAAATGTGCCGCCACATCTGAGTCACATGTGAAAAAGGCTGATTCCTAGGCCTGATATCGGGAGATTCTTACTCAGCAGAATTTGGGATAAGACAAGATCCTTTGCTTCTTAAGAAGCTATCCGGGTCATTCAGAGGGTCAGCCTGGTTTGGGAATCAGTGGTCTAGCCTAACTTACCTCATCTGTAACTGGGATAAAATGAATTGTCCTAGACCCTAAGGACAGGGGCCTTAGACCTAGAACTAGGATGCTGCGCTCCAAAGCCAGCTCGCTGGCCTTACTGACAGACATTCTGTCAAACACACACTACTCACTCCTCAAGAGCTCCAGCCATCAGTATGTCTTCCTTGTCAGTCTTAACATCCAATTCTGGTTCTCCGCTAAGCAAAAGCTTCAAGTTATAAACAACCAGCAAAGTACCTAGTAGAAAAAAAGGACGTTTGACTTGTCAATACTTTAACTACGCTAAATATTAGTCATGGTGCTATTATCTCATCTGTGGAATTAAGCCTACTCTAGACCAAATTTCCTTCTGTACTTCAGTAAATAATGTGCTTGGTAAGTTCCAGGATAGAGGTCTCAGGGCAAATTCCACTCTCTGCCAAAGAGTGTTGAGTTTCTACATTATAGGTCTTATTCCTATTCAAATCATTGTTAAGTCTCTCAATGTGAATTCTTACACTTTGGCACTTTTTCATAATTTGCATTACGAAAATTGTTAGGAGTCTGAGCTAAATTTGTATTGTGGGTAAAGGTCTCATGGATGGAATCAATGCACAAAAGAACAAAGATGAGTTTTAAAAATTTGTACAAATATGAAGAATTGTTTTTAGACCCCATAATAGGTGTTGGCAGACTTTTTCTGTAAAGGGCCAGACAACAAACATTTCAGGCTTTGCAGGCCAAATGGTCTCTGTCACGTCTACTCACAACTCACCTCCATCATTGTAGCATGAAAGCTGCCACAAAGAATACATAAATGAATGAGTGTGGCTGTATTCCAATAAAACTTTATTTACAAAAACAAGTATGGCTGGGTTTGACCTGCAGGCCACATTTGCTGACCCCTGCTCTAAAGCATAGCTAACAAAATAATCCAAATTCTTTACAAAATTGAGTATGGTACAAAGACAAACAGGATTGTCAGAGAAATTAAAAGAACAACCAATTACACCTCTCTTGGTAGTACTAAAACCCAAGAGAGAACAAACAGCACAGTGACTAAGAATGCCTATGTCTAAATCCTGCATCAACCATTTATTTACCAGTTGCAATGACCTTGGATAAATTTCCTAACCTCTTTGAACCTAATGTTTTCTAATCTCCACAATGGAGCACATGAATAATTTTGAGAATTAAATGTGTTAATTTTTACAAAGCATTTAGAAAAGTATTCAAGAAACAGTACACCCTTCTTTAGTATTTACATGAGCATTTCACAGTTAAAAGTCAACTAACAAATCACGTTAGCTGTCCTTAAAGTATGTCATGTATAGGGGCACCTGGGTGGCTCAGTTGGTTGAGCGTCTAACTCTTAATTTTGGTTCAGGTCATGATCGCAGGGTCGTGAGATGGAGCCCCAGATCAGTTTCTACGCTGAGCATGCAGCCTGCCTAAGATTCTCTCCCTCCATCTCCTTCTGCCCCTCCCCCACAGCTTGCACATACTCTCTTTCTAAAAATAAAAAAAGGTATATCATGTACACATTAATAAGACTAATATTCATTGAATTGCCACTAGTTTTCTTCTAAAAGAAAAAGGAAAGGATGGCAAAAAATCATTTTTAAACAAAATGCCACAAATTAGAGAAGAAATTTTGAAGGTAATACAAGCCAAGTCAGAAACAAATTTCTCAGAATTTTACTGAAACATTATATAAAACAAGGAGTTGCAAAAAGGAAAATGCACATAGCTTTCTCTAGAGTAGGATTCTTCTTGTTTTTAGATATGAAAGGTGGACATCTGGAGAAAGATTGGCACTGGAAAATGTTAGTAGACACAGTGCATTCTACATGTTGAGTAGAAAGCTGGTGCAGGTTGAAAGAATACAGAAATAAAGAATATACAGAAAGATCTGTTAATGTGGAAAATGTCCACAAAGCTTTTGCTAACTCTCTGCTTCGGAAACCTGGATTCACTGGCTTATAAATTGCTGTCTTACATACGTGAGATCATCTAATCGTAGACATTACAGTAAACATCTCCTAACTCTGCTACGTAGTACAGGAATTATGGATCCCCTATGGTCACAGACTATGTCATCCTCTCTGTATCCAGTCTTCACCAAGCTCGTGCAAGTACAAGTCTTTCTCCCAGTATTAGGGACTTAGAGCTATTCACGTTTAGATTCACTTAAGACAAAATTCATGTGGATATAATGAATAACTGCCCCCATGTGAGATCCTGCATGGTATTATAAATAGAAAAATATAAAAGCGTACGTAAAGTATCTTTTGAAAGACACTAAAAACAAATACTTCTAACAAAACTTCAGAGTTTTGATGATCTTACCACATTTCCCATAGATCACATCAAACTGCTGCATCAGTTCAGCTTCATTTCTAAATGGAGAGTACTTAAAAATTATAGACAATTCTGTTGAGAATTTTTGAGGATCATCTGTGACAGATTTTCTGGTTCTTGTTAACCATGAAGGTATTGGAACAACAACCTATTAAAAAAACGCACACATCAATTTACTATGAAGTACACAAATAAAAACCATCATCCTTTCATCTGATCCTAATTCAGTCCATTCTTCATCTAGCCAAATTACAAAACACAAAGTTAAAAGTTTATTTCCCCCTGTATTCTAGTTTTATAAGAGAAAGACACAAAACAATTATGTATACTCAGTGTTTTATTTTAAAATGCTCCATTGTCTAATGTGGGGACAGATGGAATCTACTTCAGCCCCTAATGAAATATGGGTAGGATGGCAGAAGGAACAACAGTATCAGCACTTTAGAAGTTGAACAGGACATGACAGCAAATCCAGGAAAACCAATCTGAGGCCCATGCCAGAAGAGAAAACCAGCCTGTTTACAATTTGGAATACGCTAAAAGGCTCAGAGTTTGATGGCATGAGTTCACTCTGGGGGTGGGATAAAGGGGGAAGTGAAACAGAAGTAGCATCCAGATCCCCATCTGGCAGCAGCTCCCCCACCTCCACAGAGACTGGATGCTTATTCTCTGGAAAGAGTACAACAAAGCATTTCTGGATTAGAGGATATGTCAGGCACAGTTGTCAGGGGGACCTGAGATCAGAGGGATTAAGGTATACATACTGGATGCTGAGAACTCAGATCTCGTCTCTCATTTGGGTCCCAGAAAGCTGTCAGCTAGGCCTTCAGGCAGAAGACTGTAGGAGTCTTCTCTGAGAAATTGGACTAGCCCAGAAGGAAAGACATAAAGAAAATTACATTGAGGGCTTCCCAATAATACAGCTCAGCTAGGGTTCACTATTGTGACACTCATAGCTGCAAAGCCCCCCACCCCCAACCCCACCCTCGCAGAGCTTTTGATCAAAATTGTATTGGAATACTCTATTTAAAGTATTCAGGACTGATAGCCATCGGAGAAAAGCCTCTAATATGATAAATACAGACCAAATAAACAAGCACAAACAAAGCAACTCATCGGAAACAAAAACCATACAAGGAAGATGAAAATTTCAGAGGAAAAGAAAAGTCAATCATTGTTAATATCTTCAGAGCACTAAAAGGAAATATTGTATCCATGAAACATAACTATATGTCTTTAAAAAAGAATACTGAAAGAATTTAACACACTTCTTGGAAATGAAGAATATGACTACAGAAAAATATTTATGAAAGGGTTGGAAGAATAAATGTTAGAAAATCTCCCAGAAAATAAAACACAGAAAATTGGAGAGAAAAGATAAGAAAATTTAAGAACCAGTTCTAGGTGTCCAAGATCTAAGGACAGAAGTTGCAAAAAGAGAGAAAAGAAAATACGAATGAAAAAATCATAAATATTACAGAAAAACGTTCCCAACCTGAAGAACATGTATTTCCAGATTGAAAATGTCCAGTAAGCAACCAGCACAATGGATGCAAACAGACCCACACAAAAGCAAAATACTTAACATCAGAACATTGGAGACAAAGAAGATTCTACTGCTTCAAAGAGTAGAAGGGGGGAAAAAAAAGAGTAAGTTACACACAAGACTCAGAAATTAAAATGGCTTCAGACTTCTCAATGACAATGCTAGAAATAAGAAGATAATGAAGCAATGGCTTCCAATTCCTGAAAGAAAACTCACTCCAACCTACAAATAACAACAAGCTAAACTGAGTGTTCAGGTAGGATAAAAATATTTTCATGCATGTGAAGTCTCAAAACACTTGACTTCTCGTGCATCCTTATTAAGAAAGCTAACAGAAGACATGTTGGACAAGGCAGGTCCTGGGAGCACAGCGGAACACCAGCCGTGGACAGCAGGAGTGAGGGGCAGCAAGAAGATTCCAGGGCAGAGTCTTCAGGAAGGTGGAACAGTGAAGAATGTAGCTGGAGACTGGGGTTAACATAGTGATAAAGACGGAAAACCAAGCAAATACTCAGGACAATGCTAAGTACATAAAACACTAAGGAGACAATTACTAATTCCAGGGAAAAGAAAAAATTGTGCAGAAAAAGGAAAAAATTCGTTTATGACAGGATACAGTGTGAATAGTGTTTATATAGTCTTACAACGTAAATACTGAACATTAGCATAAGTAAAATGACAATGGAGCTACCTTGAAGGTGGAGAATTGGAAAGTATGTATGTGTGATACAAACAGATGAAACAATAATATATAGATCCTTTTATAATGAGCAATTAATACATAATATATCAAATCAAGAAGTAGTAATACAAGTATGTTATATAGAGATATGCAGGGAAATAGTGAAAAAAATCAGCTAATATTGTTGAAAGAGTTTGCCTGGGTCAAAGTAGAAATGGGAAGGGGTTCCTGGTTTTAGGTTTTTTTTTTTTTTTTTTTTTTAAAAAAAAAAAAGGAAATGGCCCATGTTAGAAAAGCTATAACCTCAGCTTTGGCCCAATTTTCCATGCCTTTACATATATAAATGGCAACATAAATGCTTAAAGCATTGCTTTTCTTTCTAACAGTCTCCCACTCAGCTACTCCCTATCGCCTACAGATTTGTTGCTTAGCCAGCCCCACCCCACCGCGGCCGGTGGGCATGCTGCACCCTTGGGGGACAACCTCACATCCCCACTGTCCTTTCAACCCCATACTCCTGTCCAGGTCTGAGAGCTGCTGCGTGCCACTTCTCTCCACATACCAGCCTTTACAGCTGCAAGTGGTGCTCACTGCATAAAGCCCTCATTGACCAATCGAGGCTCTCTAATCTCTCCATCCATACCTTTGCTTTTGACAACTTTGTAACAGCAGAAATGCATACTCACTGAACAGCATTCTTTTTAAACACCCTCATTTTGTTATGTATCCAATTCACATGTGTTTGCCTATATTTTATGACCCCTTTGATGGTCAGATGATCTTCTGCTGGTTTTCTACCTTCCACAGGGTCTAACCAGTGCTGGGTCGTTCCTTAACCTGAATTATTGAATTACACTGACATTGTGAGTAGTAAAACTCAGACACTGCAAATTAATAAAGCGTAGCTAGGTCATCAAATGGAGTTGAAATTATGGTTACTGGGTTACAGTGTTAAATCTATTTTGCACTCAGTTTCTTTAGATTTTGTATTCCAAGTCTTTTAATCCAATATTTATTTTTAAAATGATAATCCATTTATGGCACAAATGGTGGAAATGTTTTGCAGGCTCCTTCCAAAAAGCTCACTGTGCCAAAGGGAGCCTCTTATTCTGGGAGATTCGGGTACATGGATAATGAAAATAACATTCTGAAAACTGCCTTGAGTTAATAACCCACTCAAGAATGGTCAACAGGGGGGCACCTGGGTGGCTCAGTTGGTTACACACCTGATTCGGCTCAGGTCATGATCCCAGGGTCCCGGGATCGAGTCCTGTGTCAGGCTCCCTGCTCAGCAAGGAGCCTGCTTCTCCCTCTTCCTCTGCCCCTCTCACCCCTGCTCATGCTCACTCTCTCTCTCTCTCGCAAATAAATAAATAAAATCTATTTAAAAAAAAAATGCTACCCAAGAAAAATAAGTGGCCACGGATTCTTAAAAAAAAAAAAATTGGTCAACAGGACATGCCTCCAATGACCCCCCCAAGAATGTCCAGCCACCCTCTCTCCACTTCCCAAATACATTCCTAAATGTCTAAATCATAATCAGAAAAGAACTGCTGTAGACTTCACCTCCTGAGATGGTAAATGAAAACAACACTGTTACCATGGAAACCAAAGGAAAATCTCAACTCCTACCTCAGTAAGACCTTCTCTTTCACAGAATGTCTGAGAAAAAAACACACAGGTCATCGTTTCTTCCTTCTTTGTAAAAAGAATAAAGTCTTTCCCAATCCTCATGGATCCACTATATTAAAAAACAAGAACATACTGGTTTACCTCTCAAACACTGAAAAGAAAAAATAGGCGGGCACGAAACTGTGTGCTGTAATGAATTGTTCTTTCATAGAAGTAACTCCCCTGTTTTGCTGACCCATCACCAAAAGGGTGAAAATATTATTTTTTTCCTCAAAGTAGAGCAGATGGATTTGAACCAATCTAGCTCCACACCCTTGCTTGAGACAGGGCAGCTAGAAATAAGGGGCTGTCCAGGACTCAAGAAAAGAACAATCATCTGTCCGTAGCAGGTGTCACATGGGTGACGATATACCCTTGTCCTCACCTTACACTGAGGCAGACTAATAAAATAAGCTGTGGACACATAATTACACCTGCAATAACATATGCTCTGAAAAACAAGAGAAACATAGAGATTCAAGGAAGCTCTGAAGTACAGGGCTTCTGCTTCCTGAGAGACAATTCATCCCCTATATGAGAATTAAATTTACAAATATTGTAAAGATTCAAGTCAGTTATCGGTATGGAAATCCCAAAACAAGGTAGGACTCTCCAGTTTATATATATGTTTTGAGCTTCACAAACCTATCATTCTGTATAAGGTTGCCTTTACATAAATATTGTTCCCAGTATCAATAATACATGCCTTAAAGAAAAAAAAAAATTCTCACCTTTTAAGACCATTACCATATTGCCCAATAAACTTCAAGGTTGATGACCGTTTCTTGGATGTTCCAAAGTAAATGATATCTGAAGCTTCCTCTATAATTGACAAAGACATATAGGTGGTTAGAAATTATGAATCATTGACACTGGCCACAGGTCCAGTTGTCAGGATGTCACACATATCTCAGGACATTAGGGCAAATCCATACCTCTTGGGTCAGCCCAGTGACAAGGATTCTTGTCAGGCTCCATGATCTCTGACCAGGATCTTAACTGTAATATACTGAAGGAGGTCAGACAGACCTAGCCATATGACCTTGGGTAAACAGAGTTTAAACTCTGAGTCTTAATTTCCTCATCTCTAAAAGGGAACTACTAAGACTCGATCATAGGTTTGTTGATGAAGACAAATACACAAAAGGAGATCATCTGTTTGTGAAACCCTGAACACAGTACAGGCCACTTGATAAGTGCCAATAAATTATACGTGTTAAAATTATCTGGGGGCACCTGGGTGGCTCAGTCGTTGGGCGTCTGCCTTCGGCTCGGGTCGTGATCCCGGCGTCCTGGGATCGAGCCCCGCATCGAGCTCCCTGCTCAGCGGGGAACCTGCTTCTCCCTCTCCCACTCCCCCTGCTTGTGTTCCCTCTCTCACTGTCTCTCTCTGTCAAATAAATAAATAAAATCTTTAAAAAAAAAAAAATTATCTGTACCACTAGTCATTTTCCATGAATCTGGCCCTTAGCCAGCTCCATGGAAGACCAAGCAGGGCAGAATGGCTTCTGGTCTGACACTCCCTGGGGATGAAGGGCCACTTGTTCCAGACTCTCAGAGTCATTCTCCAGATCTCTCCAGGGCATTCGGAAATTCTAGAGAAGAATCATCTCAACTTCAAAATATACGTACCCCCAGAAACCAGAATGCTCCTAGGGACACAAGGAAAGATAGAAATGGGTCTCCCAGTTGGCCTACCTGAATGTGTGCTCTGGAACTCTGGAAATGTTCTGAAGACCAGTGTCAGTCTGTGTGCAGACATGCACACCTGGTGTGTGGTACGTAAGGGCTACCAGATACTCTGCTTATCTGAAGCCAACTGGGCATTCTATCGCATGTTCTTATAAAGGGCTGGGTATTAGGTGAGGGTATCCATAATAACAACATTAGCTACCATTTACTGTTTAGTATATGCTAGGGACTATATTATATACTTTACATGCACTGCCTAGTCAATATTTATAACAAACCTACATAGTTGATATTATGATGACGATCTGCATGTTATGGATGAGGAAATTTAAGTTCAAAGGTTATATGTAACATGCCCAAGGTGAAACAGCCTATGAATGCTACTGTAAGGATAACAATCCAAGGTTGTCAGAGACCATATTCCGTGGGGGTTTTTTTGTTTTTTTGTTTTTTTGTTTTATTTATTTGAGAGAGAGAGAATGAGAGACAGAGAGCACGAGAGGGAGGAGGGTCAGAGGGAGAAGCAGACTCCCTGCCGAGCAGGGAGCCCGATGCGGGACTCGATCCCAGGACTCCAGGATCATGACCTGAGCCGAAGGCAGTCGCTTAACCAACTGAGCCACCCAGGCGCCCAATTCCGTGGTTTTCAAAGCACATCTCACAGACTCCCACGTATGGTGGCCAGAGTTCTGGGCACAGGTATAGAACACTGACATGACCCCTGCCCATAGCAATTTATGTCATGATAGGAAAAACAGATTAGAAACAAATAAACAAGATAATTTTTAAAAGCATTAAGTGAAGAAAATAAAACCAGGATAAGGTGATAGAGAATTAACAGGAGTGTGGCCCTCAGACAGAATGATCAGGGAAAGCCTCTTTCGTAAGGTGACATCTGAAATGAGCTTCAAATGAAGGGCCAGCAGGTATGGCTGGAGTGTTATAAGCAAAGGAGTAAGTGCCATGAGAAACGGCCAAAGAGGTGGACAAAGGCCAAATAATGCAAGAAACTGGAAGCATTACTGGGCATATAAATTATATCCCAAAGTACAGAAAAACCACTAAGGGCTTTAAAAAGGGAAAGGATATGATGTGATTTATATTATAGGTATCTTTTTTTTTTAAAGATTTTATTTATTTATTTGACAGACAGAGAGAGAGCACACAAGCAGGGGGAGCAGCAGAGGGAGAAAGAGAAGCAGGCTCCCCACTGAGCAGGGAGGCCAATGCGGGACTTGATCCCAGAACCCTGAGATCATGACCCGAGTCAAAGGCAGACGCTTCACCAACTGAGCCACCCAGGCGTCCCGATTTTCCAATCAATGTTAACAGTAATTGTTCTCTCAACACTAGTAGACTTTTAAAAATAGTCCTGTATACGTCAGGGTGCCTGGGTGGCTCAGTTGGTGAAGCAGCTGCCTTCGGCTCAGGTCATGATCCCAGGATCCTGGGATCGAGCCCCACATCAGGTTCCATGCTCAGTGGGAAGCCTGCTTCTCCCTCTCCCACGCCCCCTGCTTGTGTTCCCTCTCTCACACTCTCTGTCAAATAAATAAATAAAATCTTAAAAAAAAAAAAAAATTGTCCTGTATATGTCAACTGAAGTATGAGTTCCTTCTGAAGATTTGAATATCTGCCACTTTTCTGTGTTTTCATCATTTTGTTCATGGCTGTATTATAAAAGGAGCTGCTTCTTTTTCTTTTTTCTTTTTTCTTTAAGGAAGTGCCTTAGAATATATCAGATATTCTGTTATTTAAACATTCAGAAAAATGAACTAAATGGTCAGCCTAGACGTGAAAAACAAAACTGTTTTTTCATCATGATTTTCTCACAGTCTTCTTTCTCTTATTTAAAACTAAGGAACCAACAATACTTTGAGTCAAAATCACCTGGAAAAATCAAAATTATCCTGACAAAGTCAGAATGAGACCTGAGTAAGTGATTTCAGCATTTTCTAAACTTGCTAATAATCTCTGACTATTCATACCAAGGGAGCACTTCAGAGACTAGCAAGAAGACAACTGCTTTACTTTGTATTCTGAGCTTCCAGCAGTGATGAGCATCCTTTCCGCTGCTATAGAACAGACCAGAACTGTTCCCTATTACTTGAACTCCCCTCATGATTTTTTTAACCTAGTGGTCAAAAATCCTGTTTTGTGGGTCATAGACAAGTGTTAAACAAGAATTCAGGGATAAGCTATCCCAAATGAGTCAAAGCCCTTATCAGAGGGAATAATATTTCAATTTCACAGGATGCCTGGGTGGCTCAGTTGGCTCAGGTCATGATCCCAGAGTCCTGGGACCAAGCCTCACACCGGGCTCCCTATTCCGCGGGGAGCCTGCTTCTCCCTCTGCTTGCCGCTCCCCCTGCTTGTGCTCGCTCTCTCTCGCTCCCCCCCTGACAAATAAATAAACAATAAAATCTTCAAAAAAAAAGAATTCAATTTCACAGTAAACTGGTATTGTGCACCTACTGTGTGTTGCATTTTGGCTAGCCTTGAAGGTACCAAAAAAAAAAAAAATCATGCAATGAATTGTAGATGTGTTCATTATGGTGAGAATAGTTGACTGAATCTACTAACCCTTTGAACATGCCGAGAAAAAACAAACCGCTAAAAACAAGGAGAGGTAACCTCTTCCTCAAGGTTAAGCAGAAAATTAAAAATAGCCTGAAGGCACTGGAAACTGCCTCAGGGCTCTTGCAAGCAATACCTGAAGGGCAAGCTCAAACAGTCTCAAAATCCATCCAGTTACCCCGCCTTTTCCATTCATTTCCCAGATGTTTTTTCTTTTTTTTCTTTTTTTTAAATTTTTTTTTTTTTTAAGATTTTATTTATTTGCGAGAGAGAATGAGAGACAGAGAGCATGAGAGGGAGGAGGGTCAGAGGGAGAAGCAGACTCCCCGCCAAGCAGGGAGCCAAATGTGGGACTTGATCCCAGGACTTCAGGATCATGACTTGAGCCAAAGGCAATGCTTAACCAACTGAGCCACCCAGGTGCCCATGTTATAAGTTTTTTTCTTTTTTTAAAGATTTTATTTCTTTATTTGAGAGAGAGAGAATGAGAAAGAGCACATGAGAGGGGGGCCAGTCAGAGGGAGAAGCAGACTCCCTGCCGAGCAGGGAGCCCGATGCGGGACTCGATCCCGGGACTCCAGGATCATGACCTGAGCCGAAGGCAGTCGCTTAACCAACTGAGCCACCCAGGCGCCCCTCCCAGATGTTTTTTCTTATAAGTAATCATACCTTCTTTTCATCTTTCTTGCAATATTTATCTACATTCCCTTTTTGTCTTGGTTTAGATGATTATAATGAATTTACTCTGTCAGCTGGAATATTTAAATCTAGAAAGTTCAACAATATGTTAAGTCTGGGGTTTATTTTCCCTTAATAGCTCCATACCTGTTTTTGCATAGATAGCTCAATTTATTTTTATTTATTTTATGGATTTTCTGTTTCCCCGAACAGCCAGTTAGGTATCTGGATAATTAACTTACCAGGGCTCATACCACATCCATCATCCAGGAAGCACAACATGAATCCACCCTGCAGTTTTTCATTATCCACTGTAAGAGAAAGCAGTTATTACTAATAAATATTGGCCTTAATTTGTTCATCAGAAAGTCATGCTGCTTACATAATTATCTGTCCTCCTCAAAGGCAGCCGCGGGGTGACAGCGTTAGGGCACAATGATGGCGCCCAGAAAGGTGTCCTGGCTACAGTTTCTCAGGACACTGCAGGGGGAAGACAGTCATGCACCAAGAAGGCTTTAAATTAACATAAAACCTCTACACATTAATAAATTATGTATACAGTGGGGCATGCCCTGCTCCTGGAATCTGACTGGCCTTTAAACTTCAGGTATTTTCCACCCTAGGGGCAGGAATAAAGGGAAATGGTGATGTGACCCCAGGATCCCTCCATCCCACTGATCCACCTTTATGCCCTTCCACCAAAGCACTAATTCTAAAGCCAATCCAGGCCATTCTTATTCAATTCCTCAGGCTCTCCTCTAAGTAGTTAATCCCGTAAGAGCCATTTGTTGTGTGCTTCCTAGTGGCAGCAAACATTTGCCTCTTGAAAATGCATTTGATTTTGAAAATGGCTATTCTGGTGATTAAGAGATATCATTAAGATAAGAGAAAATAATCTCTTGTTTAAAAAAAATGGAAGGGTGTAACTAAAACTAATGAGACTATAACGCTTAGTTTGTGATCTGGCTCTGAGAGGAATTGCAACATTTGGATCTATGACTTCTACCACATCTCTCTCCCTCTCTCTCTCTCTCTCTCTTTTTTTTTGATAATAGCTTGAGAAAGAGCTTACACACACAAACTGCCTATGTGTAAAGTGTACAATGGGATGAACTGTGACATATGTACATACCCATGAAATCATCATCACAATCAAGGCAGTGAACATAGCCATCACCTCAGACGTTTCCTCAGGTCACTCTACAGTCTCTCCCTTCTGCCCCTTCCATGCCCATCCCCCTACCCCAACCTCAGGCAGCCACGGATTTGCTAACTCTGTACCTATAATTCAGTTGTAGCACATTTGTTAAGTCAACTGTGTTCAACGGTCACACCTAAACTATATTTTAAAAGTTAAATAATGTTCAAGATAATCTATAAATACATATCTAAAATATGTACCTAAGTTTTCCGGGTTCATAATTTTATGGTCACATGCCCACTTCTAATCCCCTACCACCCCCACTAATTCCCTCCCTGTCTATAAGCACTTTGGATCTTCCCTACCATTTCATTTTCCCAGTTCTTCTCTCTGCCTCGTTGTCCGGAGTGCTTACCTCAACTCCTGTATCAGAATATTCCTCCCCCATTGTAGGTCTTCGCTCTGTGCAACCCCCACCTCTGGCAGAGGATGACATTCTCCGCTATTCAACAAGGGAAAACCAACTCTTGTGGAGTTCTTTGCACAGTGTGGTAGTTCTCAACCATGGCTGAACATTTTAACCGCACAGAGATACTCCAAATTAACTGGTCTTGGGTGAGGCTCAGGAATAAACATCCCCCCCAATTATCCTACTGTGTATCAGCACTGGGAACCACCTGATCCAAGCCTCATGTGGCTCTGCATAGATGCAACAATTGATTTTGCAGCTCTTGGAATAAAGTTCTCATGCAAGGAGCTTGCAGAAAGAAGGGCATTTCTTTGGTGAATAGGTGAGAAAGACTCAAAATTCCCAAGAGATGTATACAGTGCTTACTTTTTCTATAAATCCTAGTGAAGGACTACAGACAATCACAGCCTCGAAATGTAATATTCCTACTGTCCACCCTGATGCTTGGCCTTACTTCAATTCCTTAAAACTAAGGATTCCAGATAAATTTCCATTATCTGTTAAATATGCATGTCCAAAACAAACCCCAGCACCTTCTCCCTCGTCAGACTTACTTCTGATGTTTCCTGTTCAATAAATGGCCATCACTCTGCCATTAGGCTTCAGCTGCCCAAGTCAAAACCTCAGGATTGCCATGTCTTCTCAGTTCCACCTCCTTAAAGCCTCTCAAGTCTGACCACTTTCTCTACCACCATGACACTGCCTTAGCTCAGGAAACCATCATCTCTCTTGTCGATTACAGCAACAGCGGCCTCACTCCTTGCTCGCCCTAAGAGCAGAGCGCCGACCAATGTGCATTTCACAATAATTTTATGTGTCAACTTGGTTAAATTCTGGTACCCAGCTGTTCAGCCAAACATTAGTCTAGACGTTGCTCTGAAAACATCTGTGGATATAATTAACATTTACAATCCGTTGACTTTAAGTAAAGCAAATAACTTCCATAGTGTGGGTGAGACTCATCCAATCAGTTGAAAGCCTTCAAGGCAAAGACTGAGGTTCCCTAAAGAAGCAATTTTCTGCATCAAGATGGCAACTCAGAAATTGCGCTTGAGTATCCAGGCTGCTGGCCTACCCTAAAGATTTAGAACTTGACACTGCACATCAACTCTTAGTTGGATTTCCAACTAAGCTGGATAAGTAAGTAGGGCCAGGTGCCCTACAGATTTCAACTGCATCAGCCCCCACAATCATGTGAGCCAATTCCTTAAAATCCCTCCCTCTCACTCTCCCCAAACGCTCTATCAATATCTACAGATGTAGACAGATACAGATACATATCGATATAGAAATACACATACATTGCTAGAGGGGAGGGAGGGAGGCAGATCATATCTGTCCATCTAGCTGTCTGTCTACCTCTCTGTCCATTTAGCTATCTCCTACTGGTTCTGTTTCTCTGAAGAACCCTGATGAATACACTCTCCAAGCTCACCTCGTCACTCCCTCCCCACACCCATACTGCAACCTTCCATTTCCACGCAAATTTCTCTTTAACTAATCTTGAGCATCTTGAACATTTTTGCAACTCCGTCGGTGTTCTATGTTCTCTCCATATTCAAGCCCCTGCCTATCCTGCCCCTTTTCGCTCTCCACCCGATTCACCAGGCGGAAGCCTATTTCCCCTTTAGCTTATTAGATCCAGTAAGGTTCCTTCTTGGACACCTTCCTCATTCTTACACATCATCGGGCGCCCACAATGTGCATTTTCTTTGCAGTTTGTGCTTTCCGCCTGCTCGTGTATCTCTTTTCTTTTCAAACCAGTGGCTCTTACTTTTTAAAACACAGTTGCCTCAGAGGTATGGTGAAAGCTAAGGGCCCTCCTCCCATGAAAGTGAAGATATACACCATATTTTCTACAGACCCCCGCACTAGGATGCCAATTTCTTAAGAGCAGGCACTGTGTGTACTTAACACTTAACCCAGTGTCTGCCACTTGGTAAGCACTTAAAAAAAAAAAAGCATTGAATGCAAATCCATGTTTACTAGAACCAATACATATGAACAGATAAAACAACAATGGCCAAACATGTTTAGTTTGAATTTTATACTCCTCCTTCCAGTTACCCGAAGAAAACTTAAGATTGGAAAGTAATTCAGGGGCCTCAGTAAATAATTTGAAAACTATTTATTTTTATTTATCCCCATATCAATTCTATCTATTGCTGCATAAGCCCTGACCTTGGCTTATTATTTTTTAAGAAAAAGCAATTTGCTAAGTTGATAGCCATATTGTGATTTGCTGCAATAAAACAATTTATAACATGAATAGGTACTTTTTTTATGAATAGGTAATATAAAACCAAAAATCTTAAGTTCAGTTTTTCACAAAACACATAACCTAAATAAAGAAAGAAGTGCCATTTTGAAGTCAAATGGCAAAGACTGTGTGTGTGTGTGTGTGTGTGTGTATGCCAAGTGCTAGAAAAAGTTAGGGAAATGAGTACTACCATGCCCTGCTGGTGTCCTGCCATAAACCCAAAAGAACATAACAAGTGAATTCCAATGACATTTGTTGTACTTTGTGATTTTGGATAATCCTTCTCAACCCTTCGACCCTTCATCAATATGTGTGCTCGGGAGGCACCTGGTGGGCTCAGTCGGTTAAGTGTCTGCCTTCAGCTCAGGTCATGATCCCAGATCCTGGGATCGAGCCCAAGTCAGGCTCCCTGCTCACTGGGGAGTCTGCTTCTCCCTCTCCCTCTGCCCCTTCCGTCCCCCCCCCACCATGCTTGCTCTCTCGCGCTCTCTCTCTCTCACACATAAATAAATAAAATCTTTAAAAATATATATATGCATGCTCTGACTGAAATGCAACTTAAATCTTTTCCCCTTCTCCATTTCTAGGACCACTGCCCTACTTCAAATTCTGACTAAATCTTCCGTAGGTCATTTCCATAGCCCCACACCCCTGCTATCCCTTCATTCACACTTCTACAGACCATCCTACATGCTATGGCTGGAGAAGCTTTCTTTGAAAAGGGCACATTTCTAATTTGCCAAATGACATTGCTCAAAATTCTTCAATGGTCACTGTCTATAGAAAAAAACCTTAGCATGGCATTGAAGGTGCTCATCTATTTGGCTCTAACAATTAGCTTTAGTCAACCTAGCCTACTCATTGTTCTCTGACTGCTTTTTCTCCAAATATCTACACAGCTCGCTCCCTCACCTCATTCAGGTCTTTGATGGTACATCACCTGGTTAGAGAAACTCTCCCTGTTCACCTCATGAAAAATAGTACACCCTGCCAATCACTCTCTGTTCTCTTTTCCCACTTTCTTTTTCCTTTTAGCACTTTTCATTGCTTGGTGTATCATTTGTTCACTTCCTTATTGTCTCTCTCTCCCCCGTGAGAACGCACATTCCTGAGAACACACATTTAGTCACACATGTTGCTCCGTGCTCTGTCGCTAGCACCTGGAGTAACTAATTTGTTCATTCGTGACAGACACTCAATAAACTGTTACTGAATGAATGAATCTCTGAAATTGTCTATCTCCGTCCTCTTTCTCACAATAATTCCTCAGACAGGGATATTCTTTTTTTTTTTTTTTACACTACTTGACAAAAACCACATCTATATTTTAGGCCCTAGCTCTTTAATATGAGATATTCTTTCTCTGTGTTCCTACCATATTTTGAGTCTCTCTTGGGCAAGAAACACTTATTCTATTTTACACTATCTGATGGGATATGTAAGGGAAGACCACTTCTTCTCCACTACTGGTATTTCCTTCCATGTGGAATGGAGTGCCATTAATATTAGTAAAGGGGCCCTTCTCTGTCCCTTGACTCACTTATCACTCATCTGACTGGTAATCTAGGGAAGAATCACCTAGGGAGGCTCAGTTCAGAGCTCTCCTGTTCCCTCTTGGGAGTGAGCTGCCTGCAGAGTGCATGAGCTCTGCTCCCCTCACTCCAGGCAGACCAGTGTTGAGGGGAAGCCTGACTCCACAGGTTGGGCGAGTATCTGATTCTGCGGTACGATCAGCAAATCTGCCGGATTTCTCACACTAAGCTCCATTTTTCGACAAATGGAGCTAGCATTTTTGAATAATAAAGACTGACTAGCATTTTTGAATGAAAAATAAAGACTGACCCTCTTGACCTTCTCAAACTTTTCAGAACCTGAAGAGTAGAAAGGGAAGAAGAGCATTCACTCATTATGTTTTCTCAGATGTCTCGAGATGTCCATGTCTCTCTGCCTTATGAACCAGAAGCACCCACCTAACACAGGATCTTTTTTTTTTCTTTTTAAAGTATGCTTCACACCCATTATGGGGTTTGAACTCACAACTCTGAGATCAAGACTTGAGATCAAGAGTTGGATGCTCTATCAACTGAGCCATCCAGGCACCCCACAGGATCTTAAACACTTAAAAAATTGAATTGAACAAAGCTGCTTTTTAATTATAGATATAGATTTACATCGTGGACCATATCCTCTTGCCTGTGATCAACAGCCAACGTTTTTAGGACAGCTGACAGAATCAGGGTTGGGGATCAGTTTTAACACTGCAGACATTTATCCAGGTAGTTATTAAATACAAGACTGGATCGCAGAACCTAAATTCATCTGCATCATATTCTAATGAAATGAACTAATAAGTACAATAATTTGGTGAATAAAAATGAAGTCAGTGAGGAAAACATATCTCGTTTGAATTTTAGAACCCTCAAACATTCATACTTCACATTCACTTACACGCTTTAAAACTGTGATAAGTTGAGAATGATGTATACTTAATTATGAATAACCATTAAGTTAATGTGTTTTTTAAAATAAAACTGTTTTCTTGTGGCAGGCAAATTGATGGTTCCACATCACTCTGATGCTTTCACAAAACCCTGGAAGATCTAATTTTGTAAATGGGTCCCCTAACAAGTGAACAATTCCACTCTCAGAGTATACTTTTCTCAACCTGGCTCCCCATAGGGTCACTGTACTCACAAAGCACTTAAATTACATTAAAACTCTATAAAAAGTGCTTTGATCTCACGAAATAAAATAAAAGCAAAATAACTATAGGCTTTTCCATTAGGAGGAAAAAAAAAAAAAGGAAGAAGACAAATATGCTCACCTGAAAACACATCAAGTCTTGCAGCCCCTGCATCTCTGGAAACAATATAAAAATATCACTGCTTCAATATGAAATTATGTTTTAAAAAATTACATTAATCTGAATTGCTTATGTGAGGTATAACCTATTGTCAGATAGCTAACAATAGAGAAATCCACTTAAATTGCTTCAAAACAATTACTAAAATGTTTTGCTCTACATTTATGTACTAACACCTATGATCACTCATCATTTGAGAATGTTACAAAACCCTGAAACTTGGAAATTTAAAAGAAGAGATGGAATTTAGTGGTAGTTACACAAAAAGCTCATCAAAAATGGATATGAATATTAAAAAAAAATTAGTTGGCTAATAATCCATAAATTGCAGGAAGATTTTCATCATATATTTTAGTCCCCCCAAAAATGAAAAGAAAAAGCAAATTACTAAGTAATATGTATTGTATGATCACATGTTTTTAAAGAACATCCATGATATACATGTCTATATATGTAAGGAAAGAAATAAAAACAGTGGTTTTCTCTAGACCAGAAGTTGGCAAATTATGGTCCAAAAGCCAAATGTGGCCCACCAACTGTTTCTGTAAATAAAGTTTTATTGGAACACAATCATGCCCATTCATGTACATATTGCCTATGGCTGCCTTCACACCACAGTGGCAAAGTTGAGTCGTTTCAACAGAGAACACACGGCCTGCAAAGGGGAAAATATTTACTATCTGGTCTTTTACAGAGAAGCATGTTGATACCACCTCCCCCACGCCATGTGATGAGATTACTGCTGACCTTCTTTTTCTTATTATTTTCTCAGTTTTCTACAACTCACAGATATTGTGCATTTTTTTAGTTATTTTTTTAAGTAGAAATTTTAGAAGAAAAAGAACAAGAGCCAAAAGACCCTGGTTTCAATGTGAGGGATGAAGACAATGAGGACGGTAGTCTTAGCTGGTGCAGAAGTGGATGTGTTGAGTAAGTGAAGCTCAGAATAATAAAAACCACTGGGACTCTAATCGGGAAATTTGAGTCTCTCCCAAAACTTCCTCCAATTCCAACCCAAAACTACACCAGATAAGTCTGAGTAGGTACACTGACTTGTTCTACGAGCCTTCAAAGTTGGCCCTTAGCTCCTTCCTCCAGTCAACTGCTCTTCTAAGCTCTTCCTTTATGGAAATTCTGGAGGCACTACTGCCATTTCTTGGAGCATTTTCTGTGTGTCAAATAAGCACTGAATGAAGTATTTTTAAGCCTTCTCTCCTAATCCTTACCACAATCCCATGACACATAAGTATCACTGTCTCCATTATATAATTATACATTATTCAAAATACCATGCATACAATAGGTGCTCAGTAATGCCACTGCCCCGAAACGGAAGTTTTCAAAGGAAGAGTTTCTTCATAGAGAAATGCCATGGGATAAGATATAGAAAAATCATTCACCTCTACAGCATATTAAGACATTTTATAATAAGCTTTGTGCTTTAGCCCCGGTACTTTCTCTCTGATCAGCTGGCATATCAGGAAGAGGCCCCGAACCACTCTTCCTATACTGCCACACTTTTTGTCCTGCTGTCTACAGCATTCTTTTAATATCCTCCAGTTTTAATTTTGACAACCACAGGAAACCATCACACTCTTAAATAAAATGATATAAAATAATTTCTTAGAATAACACAGGGACTTTATAAAGACCTTCTTCATGAGAACAACTAAGCATCTTGAGTAAGCCTATTAAACAGCTTCATGTGATGTCAATTACTAGCATCTGAGCAGCCTTGGCAAACTGCAATGTCTGCTGCAGAGAGAGGAACTGAGGAGTTCAGGCTGGCTGTGGGGCTCGCTAGGAGCCACAGAGCTGAAGGCACAGGCTAGTCCCAACAGAGCACCTGCTATGCGCCTGAGCCCACTGAGCAACCTCGAGGCTGCTACTTCTAATCTTTAAAAAAAGGGGGGGGCGAGTGAGGGCAGGGGACCCAGATTTCTTATGTGGCACCTCCTGTTCCTTAAACTTTATAAACAATCCCTTCTTTGCATCCTTTTCTTTATAACTCCCATGCAAACTCTCGCCCTGTGTTAAACAGGAAACAGGTTAGACTTGGTCAGAGGCCTGCCAGTTTACAGATGCTGCTCTGAGAACTGTTTTATTGATCACATTTCTCTCACTCCCCTGGGTCTGAAGTCAATTTTTCCTTGCCAATCTCCTTCTACTGCACAGAGGTGGTTTACAGACGAGCCTTACCTTGCATTGTCCAGCAATTCGGCCAGCGCTCCAAAAATGAAACTGTGCGTGGTGCTGATAAAGAAAGAGGGAAAACCGAAAGTTAAACCAACTCTGTAACCAGTGTAAAAGCTTCAAGATAACTTGCAGACAAACATACTCCAGTTCAGGACAGATAATCAATTAGGGACTTATTCTAGAAACAACTTTCTCAGCACGGTCAAGATTCTGAAGTAGATGCGGTCTGTTATAAAGCCAAGGCTAAGAACGTGATTGCCAAAATAGCCTGTCTGTTCCTAATAAAACAAAGACGTCAAGGACTTTACTGTACTTACAGCACTGATGTTTTAAAATTGCTTTATAAGCATTTATGCAAGGTTTTTCGGAGAACTTGTCATTAAAATTGTATTATTTAAGGTCAAAATATTTCTGAAAGATCTTGATCTAAATCCTGGTACACCAAAAGGCCCTAAGACTCCATCTGCAGGCACAGGCACTGGCAGGGGACCCCTGTTTGCCCCATTAATCTCTATTTTTCTGTAGGCCCTTTTCTCTTCTGAATTACCTGTGGTCACTCCTCCCTGTACCCCCTCATGCTAGGTCCTGGGTAACAGAACACACTGGACAGCCCTCACTACTAATGCTCTGAAGGCTGAATATTCACCTGTGGGTGAAATCAGGCTGCCTTCAGGGGCCCACACTTGCTTTTCATTTCTTGATATGGATATCTCAATCAGCAGCTTTATCACAGCATTAAGGGAAGATTCGGTCTGCAATTTTCTTTTTATATTTAGTAAACAGGTAACAGAAGCAAGAGAGACCCACTTATCAAAATATATCTGCTCATATGTCGAGAAGAAAGATCCTCAGCAATGTCTCAGAGATTCCCAAAACCCCAGGCCACAAGACAATACACTAGCTGAAAGTTTATTTTATTTTATTTATTTTTAAGATTTATTTTAGAGAGAAAGAGAGAGCGCTAACAAGCAGGAGGAGGGGCAGAGGAGGAAAGAGAATCCTCAAGCAGACTGAGCAGGAAGACCAGCTCCGGGCTGGATCGCAGGACCCTGAGATCACAACCTGAGCCAAAATCACGAGTTGGACGCTTAACCGACTGCACCACCCAGGTGCCCCTCCATTTGGGGGGAATTTTAAACTTTAAACACCTGCTGATGTGGGGTCTCTTGACTCAAGTCAGCTTTCCAGTTTATAATTTAAAACATAACTAAATACAATTGCTGTGAAAAGATGGCCTGCACTCAAAAGAAATCTAGTGTATAAAAATCCAAAACAGAGCAAAAGTGAAAGTTATGTGCTTCACAAAACCGCCACTTGAAACCACAAGACTTGCTAGTGGATTTAAAACACACGATTCAATATACAAAAATTCAACACAAACAATACTTCAGGAAAGTAACTAATCGTTCTGACCAAGAAGTGCCACAGAAGTTTCTATATGATTTCACTCAAGAGATTTTAACACACTGCCCGCCACGTGCCGGTGTGGACAGACAAGGTCTTGTCTGTCTGAGTCCCCCTTGGAACTCAAGCCAGTGGAGGGATATAGAAAAACATACAAGTAAACAAACAAAGATGATGTGGCAGATCGTGGTTAGATGCTAGGAAGGAAGGGTGATGAGGAAGAGTAATGTAAGGGGAGGACATGGCGGTCAGGGAGAGCCTCTCTTCATAGAAGACGTTTAAATTGAGCCCTGAAGGCTGAGAACTCAGTCCCTGGCAGAGCTGGAGTGGAAACGCTGCAGCGAGAGAAGCAGCCGCAAAGACACGGACACAGAAAGGAGCCAAGGAGGCCAGTGTGCTCTGGCTACGGACGGTAAAACAGGGAGATGATGCTGGGATGCGGGGTGGCCGGCCATGCACTGCCCTCTACTCCACGCTCAGGAGCTTGCACTCAGCCTACATGTAACTGGAAACCACGGTCATGTTTTAAGAAGAGCGACATATCTGGCTTACTTTTTTAAAAATCTCACTCGGAGGGGAGCCTGGGTGGCTCAGTCGGTGAAGCGTCTGCCTTCAGCTCAGGTCATGATTTTGGGGTTCTGGGATTGAGCCCTGCATCATCAGGCTCCCTGCTCAGCGCTTCTCCCTCTGTCTCTGCTCCCGCTGCCCCCCAGCTCGTGCTCTCTAATAAATAAAATCTTTTTTAAGAAATAAAATAAAAATCTCACTCTGGCAGCTCTCAGGAAAATGGACCATCGGGGAGCAAGAATGGGAAGCAGAGAACCCAGTTTAGAGGCTACGTGGAGCATCTCCCGGGGAGACGGCAGCCGGTGTGGACCAAAGTCAATGGCAGGGGCAATGCAGAGGAATGGATGCATCGGAGACATAGTTAGAGAGGGTGAAGAGGATCTGACGTTGAATTGGATGTGGGAGTGAAACAAGAGAGAAAAAAAAAAATCACTCCTGCCTTGACTGAGGGAACTCGCAAACAAAAATCTATCTGGAGAAGCTGAGAAGATACCAATTGGTATCTGATTTTGTGGTTGTTGCTTCACACTGCTGTCACTTTTGTTATTAAGTTATCGGGCCACCAACTGATAACGGGATGCAGGGAAGGGGGAACCTACTGGGACAAGAAGCGCCTGGGGAACAGCAGCTGCGGTAACAACACAACACCAAGGCTGAGGAAGTTTCCCGAGATAAAATCCACAGCCCTTCCAGCATTCCACCCGCAATTTTTCTTAAACTCTACTCAAAATTGCTATTTCGTCATTTGTCTTCCGCCTCAGTTAACCTTTTAAATATCTGTTCCAGCCTTTCCAGCTTGAAATTATTCTCTAAAGAGATTTAAAAAAAAAAAAAAAAAAAGCCCTAAACACCTGCCAAATATTGCCTATTTGACTTTGTCTTCTGTAAAAATTAAGTGTTTGTCCCAAGCAGCAAGGCTGGCCTTGCCTGGCATTCTTTACACTTCCGTTTCTGTCGTTTCAAACCTGGGTGTATCCCTTGTATCAGTGGGTACCTTTCGTAACTCCGAATTACTCAAAGACTCCAAAAACACCGACACAGCAATATGAATTAGGCAGCGCTCGCTGCTCCGTGCTGTGTTGGGAATGACAGATGGGACAGGAAGCCTCTGTCATCTGCCTCTGCAAGATGGGGATCCGAAATTAACACCTGATGAGTCCGCAAAACACACCTGGGCCTGACAGAGAAGCAGAATGCTCTAGCAAGAACCAAAATGTGAGGATTCTTTCCTGGGAGAGGTTACGTTTTTGCAAGGACTCAGGCCACAGAGGCTGGAATCAATAAATACAAATTACTCTCTGGAAGGCAAGCTTAATCTTTAAAATGTCAGTGTGCTGGGCAGAGAAATCACAAGAGATAGGCCAGGTTGGTAGAATTAGGGCTCTGCTAACCTCCAATTAAATAGTTTGTTAAATGCGGAGCCTTCTTACTCTGGTGTTATTTTTAGAACAACAAAAAGGTTTATAATCTAGCCCAGAATAGAGGCGTCTGGGTGGTTCAGTTGGTTAGGTGTTGGACTCTTGATTTCTGCTCAGGTCATGATCTCAGGGTCCTGAGACTGAGCCCCATGTCACACTCAGGAGCATGGAGCCTCCCTGAAATTCTCTCTCCCTCTGCCCACCCCACCCCAAACCCAGGACACTGGCACAAGCTCGCTCTCCCTAAAAATCATCATAATCTGGCCCAGAATAGTATCTTTACTACTTTTTCATTATTTTTTAATACAAAAACTTTAAATAAAATTTCCATAAATCAATGATACCAAGTTCATTTTTTTTTTTTCTTCCAAATTGGCTACTTCACTAGGAGACAAACCAAACTCTTCTCCACTAGTGGGGACCCTCCCTCGTTCACGCTTCACCGGACACTTACGAGTTGGCGTGGACGAAGTCCAGATGCAGCTGGGCCCGTCGCAGACTGGCATACTTGTCGCCCATGTCCTCGAACGCGACCCGCGCAGCCCTAAGACACACGGACCACTGCTTACCTCCCAGGCAGGGGGCCCCAGCCCTCGTCTCCGCCCACGTGCTCGTCCCACCCACGTCCTCTTCCCTACCCACGCCCTCGACCCCGCCCATGCTCCTGGGGACGCGGCTCTGCAAACGACCACTCCCCCTGCCGGCTGGAGGGTGAAGTTCACCCTGCACTGTCCGGCTGGGTATCTGGCCAGGTAAGTCCTTATTCTTCATCTTGAATCCACTCTATGAGAATGAGGCATCCAAGCTAGACTCCTCTTTCCACACTGAGATTTATTTAACCTTCCTGCACAGTTGTTCTATCATTCCCCAGATGGAAAATGGAGCCCAAGCCTAGGATCAGAATTTGATCAGAAATGATTGCACACACACACACAAAGAATGTGAAGAAGCTGGGTCTGGAGGTTGGGGGGTATAGGGAAGGAAAATGGGTAGTTTTCCTTCACTTGCATAGTTTGTTCCACAGCACCAGAGGTAAAGACATTTGTGTTCTAACCCAGCACTTACCTTCCTGTGTTTCTTGGGTTGAGACTGTTTCTCCCATCAAAGGAAAGAAAGAAGGAAAGATAGCCAGAGAAAAAAAGGAAGGACTAAAGGCAGTCAGAACAGAATTTGGACTTTGCTGTGATGTGGAGGCTTGTGTTCATGAGAAACTTTTTCACCTGTCAGCTGATAGTCAACTATTTTATGTACTGGCCCAGCTCAAAGAACAGACATTCTGCACTGTTCCAAAAGATAGAACTGGGCAGGTAAAGGTTCAGGGGAAGGAGGGGGTGGGAGTGAATGTAAGGAAGGACTGTGAGCACCAGCTGTCCAAATGTTGTTACTCACAAAGCACTGAGTTCCAAGTCACCAAAACCCCAGCTGAAATATGACTTGTCAAAGATGCTTTCTGGAAAGGTCCTGGTGGTGATGAGAAATTAGGTAACCTAACTGACCTCTAAAAAGTCTTCCGACTCATTCAATCTAGGGCTATATGACTTGCAAATTAAAGTAGTTCAATAGCACTCAGCAGAGATTTTGTCATAGTTTTAAAATCAGAAGTGAGGGGCACCTGAGTGGCTCAGATGGTTAAGCGTCTGCCTTCAGCTCAGGTCCTGGGATCGAGCCCTGCATCGGGCTCCCTGCTCAGAGGGGAGCCTGCTTCTCCCTCTCCCACTCCCCCTGCTTGTGTTCCCTCTCTTGCTGTCTCTCTCTCTGTCAAATAAATAAATAAAATCTTAATAAAAAAATAAAATAATAAAATAAAATCAGAAATGAGTGTCTACTGAATAAAGAAATTGAACTAGATGTGTTTGTGATTTTCAGGCATCATACAAGCAATGAGGTCTCAGAAAAGAAAAGAAAAAAAATTGTCAGTTTTGGGATAGTCATTTTACTTCTTAAAAAAGTAGTTTATCAGCTACTACATTTATAGGAACCAGGAGAGGAAGAGAGAATTTAAATGAAAACCCAAAGGAACATGATGCTCTACTTTAATTTGAAAACTGGAAGTAAACATAAACATCTCAAGTAATTTTCCTGATCGCATTTTTATTTTAACAGTGGCTGACGTGGTGGTGTTTTGATAGGAAAATTCTCTTTACTAAGCAACTTGAGCTATCTTTCCAATTTCTCCTTCCATAGAACTTCAGAGTATGGTATTTATTTTCATTTTATGGACAAGAAAAGCTTGACAAGTCTCTTCTGGATTTATTTTACTACCCCAACTTCCAGCTGCGATCTCAAAGCAATTTACTATTGGGAGGGCACTGGGGCCACTCGCCTGTAATTAGTAAAGGCTGTAATATTTAATTTCTACCAGAGGGAAGGGTGTGATTACCATAGAAGCGGGTCTTCTAATAATATGAGCAGAGTAAGTGGCCAGCCCCAAAGCACTAGATGCCTCTGTCTGGATAACAGGCACTCAGGGGGATCTGTTAGATATGCTAAAACAGAGGCCTGAGAGTCATTGCACACAACCCCCAACAGCCGTTCCCCTTCACCATTTCAACTCCACTTAGCCACCTTCTAGTCATACAGGTAAATCTTATTCCTCTTCAAGATACACTTTTGGGATACATTTTCTTAGCCACCTCCCTCAACCCTGCCTCAAGATTCATTTTAACCTTATTTTATGATACAAAAATATTAGAGAAACAGCAGGAAGGGGAAATTTAAAAATGAGAACATCAGGGGTGCCTGGGTGGCTCAGTTGGTTGGGCATCTGCCTTCAGCTCAGGTCATGATCCTGGAGTCCTGGGATCAAGTCCTGCATCAGGCTCCTGACTCAGCGGGGAGCATGCTTCTCCCTCTGACCATCTCCCCTCTCATACTATTTCTCACTCTCTCTGTCTCTCTCTCAAATAAATAAATAAATAAATAAATAAATAAATAAATAAATAAATAAATAAAATATTTAAAAAAAAAATAAGAACATCATCTGCTCATCTTTTGGTTGATCCTGATTTTAAGAAGAGTCAGTTGGGATAAGAGATTCTTCAGCTCTTCCTAACTAGACATTTCAGCTTTGCAACATTCATGTACTGGTCACAAACAATGGCTCAAATCTTTCAAACTATACTCTCCCCCTTTCATTTAAATAACTTTGTATGGGGGTGCCTGGATGGCTCAGTCGTTAAGTGTCTGCATTCAGCTCAGGTTGTGATACAGGATCAAGCCCCGTATTGGGCTCCCTGCTCTGTGGGATGCCTGCTTCTCCCTCTCCCACTACCCCTGCTTGTGTTCCTTCTCTTGCTGTGTCTCTCTCTGTCAAATAAATAAATAAAATCTTTAAAATAAATAAATAAATAAATAAATAAATAAATAAATAAATAAATAAATAAATAACTTTGTATGGGGGCATCTGGGTGGCACACTCCATTAAACGTCCAACTCTTCGTTTCAGCTCAGGTCATGATCTCAGGGTCATGAGATTGAGCCACAAGTCAGGCTCTGCATTAAGCATGGAGTCTGCTTAAGACTATCTCTTCCCCGAAGGGGGAGGAAAAGATGGCAGAGGAGTAGGGGACCCTATTCCAACCAGTCCTCTGAATTGAGCTGGATATCTACCAGATGACTCCAGACACCCATGAAATCAGCCTTAGATGTAAGAAGATATATCTGGATCTCTACAAACAGAATATCACAGAGGTTGGTTTCGAGGTATGAAGTGGGGAGTCGTGATTCTGCGGGCACACGTCAGAAAATAAATGGAAGGAGGAGGGAGCTGTGGGGATCCTACACCACTGGTGAGCAACAGCCTCCTGTGCTGGGGATGGGGCACAGACTCGCACTCTGGTAGTGGTGGGGAAAGGACTTTAGGGCAGCACCCTAGACTGAAACCTGGAGTGGCGGGGCCGCACATGTGCACTGGGGGTGGCTGGTGGTTTTAGAAGCACAAAGAGCCCCCATGCCCCGACCTGGAGATGAGGACTGGGAGCCCTGCAGAGGGGTGCACAACCCAGGACACTGCAGTTTATAGCAGCACAGACAAACGGAGATAGTATGGCCTGGAGAGCTCACTGAAGAACAGACTGTGATCTCTCTGCTCTGAGGCAGAAAGCTGGAAAAGATCTCTTCAGCTCTGACTCTCAGAAGAGACACAGAAAACCACCAAGGAAAGCCACTAGAGAACAAAAGCCCCCCAAAACTGGTTTTCACTGAGCCCATCCTCCCCACAGGGGGTAGGGCAACTCTGCCAAAACATAGTTGCCCAAGTAACAGCTCGGCAGGTCCCTCCCCCAGAAGACAGGCTGGGAGAACAAGAGGCCAAAAACCCTAAGGTCCCTATAAAACAGGTGAATCTTGCTTGGGTTGTGGTCAATAATTTGGACTCTATACATTCCCTCAAAGATCCCTCAACAGAATGACTAGGAGGAGGAATCCCCAAAATAGGAAAGACTCAGAGACTGTGACTTCTGCCACAGATTTACAAATGGATACAGATATAACCAAGATGTTGGAAATGGACTTCAGGGTAACAGTTATGAAGACAATAACTAGAATGGAGAAATTGATTAATGGAAACATAGAGTTTCTAAGGGCAGAAATGAAAGCTGAACTGGCAGAATTTTAAAATGCTATCAATGAGATCTAATCTAATCTAGGTAATCTAACAGCTAGGGTAAGCGAGGCAGAAGAACGAATTAGTGATCTAGAAGACCAGTTGATAGAAAAGAAGGAAAAAGAGGAGGCCAGGGAGAAACAACTCAAAATCCATGAAAACAGAATTAGAGAAATAAGTGACACCTTGAAACGTTCCAGTGTTAGAATTATTCGGATCCCTGAAGGGGTAGAGAGAGAGAGGACTAAAAGATACATTTGAGCAAATCGCAGCTGAGAACTTCCCTAATCTAGAGAATGAAACAAACATTCATGTCCTAGAGGAAGAAAGGACCACTCCCAAGATTAAGGAACACTGGCCAACACCCTGGCATGTAATAGTAAAACTCGCAAATCTTAGAACCAAGGAAACCATCTTAAGGGCAGATAGGGGGAAGAGATTCCTTATATACAGAGGGAGGAACATCAGAATGATGTCAGACCTATCCACAGAGACCTGGCAATCCAGAAAGGGCTGGCAAGACATATTCAGGGGACTAAATGAGAAGAACATGCAGCCAAGAACACTTTATCCGGCAAGGCTGTCATTTAGAATGGATGGAGAGATGCAGAGCTTCCAAGACTGGCAGAAACTGAAAAAATATGTGACCAGTAAGCTGGCCCTGCAAGAAATATTAAGGGAGGTTCTATAAAAGGAGAAAGACCCCAAGAGTGATATAGAACAGAAATTTAGAGAGATGATCTATAGAAACAAGGACTTCACAGGCAACATGATGACAATAAATTCATATCTTTCAATAATCACTCTCAACGTGAATGGCCTAAATGCTCCCATAAAATGGCACAGGGTTGGAGATTGGATAAAAAGACAGGACCCATCCATATGCTGTCTACAAGAGACTCATTCTGAACCTAAAGATACACCCAGAATGAAAGTGAAGGGATGGAAATCTATCTTCCATGCCAACGGACCTCAAAAGAAAGCTGGGGTAGCAATTCTTGTATCGGAAGAATTAGATTTTAAGCTAAAGACTGTAGTTAGAGACACAGAAGGACACTGTATTGTTTTTAAAGGGTCCATCCAACAAGAAGATCTAACAATTGTAAATATCTATGCCCCCAGCATGGGAGCAGCCAACTACATAAGCCAACTGTTAACCAAAATAAAGAGTCATATTGATAATAATATGTTAATTGTAGGAGACCTCAATACTCCACTCTCAGCAATAGACGAGATGGATCATCTAAGCAGAAAATCAACAAAGAAACAAGAGCTTTGAATGACACACTGGACCAGATGGACCTCATAGATATATACAGAACATTCCACCCTAAAACAGCAGAATCTTCATTCTCAAGTGCACATGGAACTTTCTCCAGAATAGACCACATACTGGGTCACAAATCAGGTCTCAACCGATATGAAAAGACTGAGATTATTCCCTGCATATTCTCAGACCATAATGCTTTAAAATTGGAACTCAATCAGAAGAAAAAATTTGGAAGAAATTCATACACTTGGAAGCTAAACACCACTCTGTTCAAGAGTGTTTGGGTCAACCAGGAAATCAAAGAAGAACTTAAACAATTCATGGAAACCAATGAGAATGAAAACACATTGGTCCAAAACCTATGGGATACTGCAAAGGCGGTCCTAAGGGGGAAGTACATAGCCATCCAAGCCTCACTCAAAAAAATAGAAAAATCCCAAATTCACCAATTAACTTTACACCTTAAAGAACTAGAGGAAAAACAACAAATGATGCCTTAGCCATGCATTAGAAGAGAAATAATTAAGATTAGAGCAGAAATCAATGAATTAGAAACCAGAAACACAGTAGATCAGATCAATGAAACTAGAAGCTCGTTCTTTGAAAGAATGAATAAGATCAATAAACCACTGGCCAGACTTATCCAAAAGAAAAGAGAAAGGCCCTCAATTAATAAAATTATGAATGAAAGGGGAGAGCTCATGACTAACACCAAGAAAATAGAAACAGTTATTAGAAATTACTATCAACAACTATATGCCAATAAGCTGAGCAACCTGGAAGAAACGGATGCCTCACTGGAAACCTATAAACTACCAAGACTGAAACAGGAAGAAATTGACAACCTGACTACGCCAAAAACCAGTAACGAGATTGAAGCCGTGATCAAAAACCTCCCAAAAAACAAGAGTCCAGGACCTGATGAATTCCCTGGGGAATTCTACCAAACATTCAAAGAAGACATAATACCTATCCTCCTGAAGCTGTTTCAAAAAATAGAAACAGAAGGAAAGCTTCCAGAATCATTTATGAGGTCAGCATTACCTTAATCCCCAAACCAGGCAAAGACCCCATTAACAAGGAGAATTTCAGACCAATATCCCTGATGAATATGGATTCCCCAAAATTCTCAACAAAATCTTAGCTAATAGGATCCAACAATACATTAAAAGGATCATCCACCACGACCAAGTGTGATTTATCCCCAGGATGCAAGGATGGTTCAACATTCGCAAATCCATCAATGTGATAGAACACATTAATAAGAGGAGAGAAAAGAACTATATGGTTCTCTCAATTGATGCAGAAAAAGCATTTGACAAAATACAGCATCCTTTCCTGATTAAAACTCTCCAGAGTATAGGGGTAGAGGGAACATTCCTCAAGTTCATAAAATCCATCTATGAAAAACCCACAGCGAATATCATCCTCAATGGGGAAAAGCTGAGAGCCTTTCCCTTAAGATCAGGAACATGTCAAGGATATCCACTCTCACCGCTATTGTTCAACATAGTACTAGAAGTCCTAGCAACAGCAATCAGACAATAAAAAGAAATAAAAGGTATTCAAATTGGCAAAGAAGAAGTCAAACTCTCTCTCTTTGCAGATGACATGATACTTTATGTGGAAAATCCAAAAGACTCCACCCTCAAATTACTAGAACTCATACAGCAATTCAGTAATGTGACAGGATTCAAAATCAATACACAGAAATCAGTTGCATTCTTATACACTAACAATGCAACTGTAGAAAGAGAAATTAGAGAAATGATTCCATTTACGATAGCACAAAGACCATAAGATACCTTGGAATAAACCCAACCAAAGAGGTAAAGGATCTATACTCTAGGAACTACAGAACACTCATGAAAGAAATTGAAGAAGACACAAAAAGACGGAAAAACATTCCATGCTCATGGATCAGAAGAATAAACATTGTTAAAATGTCTATGCTGCCCAGAGCAATCTATACCTTCAACGCCATCCTGATCAAAATTCCAATGACATTTTTCAAAGTGCTGGAACAAACAATCCTAAAATTTGTATGGAATCAGAAAAGACCCCGAATTGCCAAGGAAATGTTGAAAAAGAAAAACAAAGCTGGGGGCATCATGTTGCCCAACTTCAAGCTATATTACAAAGCAGTGATCACCAAGACAGCATGGTACTGGCACAAAAACAGATATACAGACCAATGGAACAGAATAGAGAGCCCAGATATGGACCCTCAACTCTATGGTCAAATAATCTTCGACAAAGCAGGAAAAAATATGCAATGGAAAAAAGACAGTCTCTTCAATAAATGGTGCTGGGAAAATTGGACAGCTATATACAGAAGAATGAAACTCGACCATTCTCTAACACCGTACACAAAGATAAACTCAAAATGGATGAAAGACCTCAATGTGAGACAGGAATCCATCAAAATCCTAGAGGAGAACATAGGCAGTAACATCTTTGACATCGACCACAGCAACTTCTTTCAAGATACATCTCCAAAGGCTAGTGAAACAAAAGCAAAAATGAACTATTGGGACTTCATCAAGATAAAAAGCTTCTGCACAGCAAAGGAAACAGTCAACAAAACAAAGAGGCAACCCACAGAATGGGAGAAGATATTTGCAAATGACACTACAGATAAAGGGCTGGTATCCAAGATCTATAGAGAACTTCTCAAACTCAACACCCAAAAAACAAATAATCAAGTCAAAAAATGGGCAGAAGACATGAAACATGAGAAACAAACTGAGGATTTTAGAGAGGAGAGGGTGGGGGGATGAGTTAACCTGGTGATGGGTATTAAGGAGGGCACATATT